ACAAAAAGCTGTGAGAAGTATGTTGAGAAAGGGCACAGCAATAGAGGGTAAAGTATCATTATATTTCTTTTACTAGATTTTAATTCAATATTTCCAGAATTCCAAATAAAGCTACAGGAATTATCCAATCAGTTGTCAGAGATTAGGGAGAAGAAACGAGAGGCCAAAAGACGAGAAAGCATGGAGGAGGGAATAGACAAGGTGAGGTGTTAATTAGATTTTATTTAATCTAGCTCGTTAGTTGATTTTGTAGATAGAAAGATAGATAGATAGATAGATTGTGTTGTTGAATCGTCCTAATATAATTTCCTAGTTAAAAAAAAACAGATGGTACTGAATCAAATTTCATGGATATTTTCAAAAAGATATTTTTCAGATACTTTTCGATTTTTCAAACTCATAGATTCAATTTCTTATAATAACTATATATAACTTATATAACTATATATATGTCCAAATTCATTCTGAATTTTAGATTTTAGATTTGGATTTGATTGCCAAATATTTAAAGTTTATGTTACACACGCCGTCACAATGAACCTTTGTGAAAAAATTGCATCAATTTACCAATGAACTACAAATTCCCTTCGCTATTAATTCGATTGGACTTGTGAACATTTTTCTTTCATCAACCAATAAATGCACAGAAATCTATATTAAATCCTTACGTAATTCTAGCAAAACACATTTCCAAATTCTTTTTTTGAAGTCTAATATATAGACTGTCTAAAATACCCGTTGCAAACACAAGCCATAGATATATCAGAAAATATTTTTATTTTCAAACCAATGTTTGTGCTTGGACCCATTTTTTTTGTGAAGAAATCTAATTATTGATAAAAGCAATTTGATTCAGTTCCCTCTGTTTTCAATGATCTGACTTTAACATTAGTTTTAATAGTTTCTTTTTGAGTTGTTTTAAGTAGAATGATCACTGTTTATAAAGATAGTGGACAACAGCCACCACCACGGCATGCGAATGGTAAATATTCAAGATTTTGGGGCAAGGACAATAACTCTGCTTCTAACGGTCAAAAATATCTCAAATTCGTCGACACATACCGATCTTCATTTGATTCCATCAAAAAATCTAGTTCTTAGAGCGTTTACAAGCAAATGTTGACGGACGGACAGGGGTGCCGACAATATACGTCCATATAGAGAGATGTTGGCGTATAAAAACATCAGAGGTTTCATTTAATGTTATTATCCTCAAAACCTCACCCCTCAACACCCCTTCAACACCCCTTTAAACACCCCTTTAACACCCCTTCCCTCAGTAGTCTCTTTGTTACATGACAGTCACATTCAAAATGGAGAGTGAAAGTTTGTTAGTTCAAATTATTTTAGTTAGTTAATTAATTCAAAGACAATACAAAATTACAAATTCATTTTTGAAACCATTTCATGTCCATATAAGGCAATCAAATGATATCATTCTGTAGCTGAGATATTTTACTTGACATACTGTTTATTCGGCATCCCTTTCAGAGAGATTCTAATTAATTAATAATATTATTTAGTATTTGGGTTTTACAACTTGACATCTCTTTCAGAGAGTTCACATAGCTAATAATGTCTTTTTGGTATGTAGGATTGCCAACTTGACATCTCTTTCAAAGGGTTCACATAGCTAATAATGTCTATTTGGTATGTAGGTTTGCCAACTCCACATCCCTTTCAGAGAGTTCACATAGCTAATAATGTATATTTGGTATGTAGGTTTGACAACTTGACTTCCCTTTCAGAGAGTCCACATAGCTATAATGTCTTTTTGGTATGTAGGTTTGACAAATTGACATCCTTTTCAGAGAGTTCACATAGCTAATAATGTTTATTTGGTTACAAGGTTTGTCAACTTGACATCCTTTCAGAGAGTTCACATAGCTAGTACTTGAATGATTAAATTGGAAATCCTGCATGTGAAATTTGAAATGCTAGAGATATTTTGTTAACCTGTGTTTTAGTTTTTAGTTCAGTAGATTGAATTCAGACATTTTGAAACAACCCTGATTATCTCCCTTGTATTATTTGCATGTTATGATAAAATTTAAAGGTGATTTTACTTAAAATTCTCTTCATTTGATTTAAACTCATGTTCTAACTACTTAGCTGGCAACTCTATATAAATGGCTATCCTTATTCATTTTGTGGTAAACTTTTAGTCAGACTTTAAGACTGGTACTTCTAAGGTGCCCTCACAAAATAGAGATTACCAGTTGCGTATTGTTGCAAATGATGAAAGCGATCCAGAGTTGCGAATGTTACTCTCAACTCAGTTGCATGAGAGTTGTGTTCGATACTTATGATGGCCATTCTTATGTGCAACCATACGCAACTAGTGATTGCTTTGTTGTGAGGGTTGAGGGCCCCTCTGGATCATGTTACAAAAATCACAAAAATTAGAAATTAAGCCTATCCTGGATATTGAAATCCTCAAATTGAAGTAAAGCCACCTTTAAATACTGTCCAGTTTATTATTCAGTTGAATTATTTTGCTGCTAACTATCGTGTGCATGTTTGTTACTCTGACTTGTCATTCCTTACAGCAACGTTTACAAGAAGAATATGAATTATTGTGCCAGGCAGAAAGTGAGAAAGAGAAAGAGGTAGTATAAATAACATTGTCATTCTACGCCTTGGTCAACCCAACATCCTAGGTGGCCCTGTGGGGAGTCCGAGGTTATTGTAGCTAATGAGTTTTATTGGATATCCGTTTCTTCATGCAGAGGGTCAACATAGCATATATTATTTATTTGGTACATGGTACATTGCTACTTATTTTTATTACATAGTCTTTCAAATCAGCATCCCATTCAGGGAGTCTACATTGCTTATAATGTTTATTTGGTATTTAGGTCTTTTCCCCTCAGCACACCATTCAGAGAGTTCACATAGCTAAATTTGGGTCTGTCAATTAAACATAGCTTATAATGTTAATTTGGGTTTGTCAACTAAACATCCCATTCGGGGAGTTCACATAACTTAACTTAACTTAATGTTAATTTGGTATTTGGGTTTGAAAACTCAGCACACCATTCAGAGAATTCACATAGCTAATAATATTTATTTGGCATTTGGGTCTGTCAATTAAACATCCCATTCAGGGAGTTCACATACCTTATTATGAAAATGTGCCACAGTTTATGTGTTTCCCTGTCAGATACTTTAAAGGAATTGTAAAGAGGTTTTCAAAAATTTGTATGTGTATCATTCATTCAATCATTTTCAATCAGATGTCTGTGGTTCCTGCAATTCCACTAAAACTAGACTCTTTATGATGTCACTATTGCAAAGGTCCTATATATAAATAGCAGCTTTTGCAGTAGTGATTTCATATAACACTTAATTTTAGTTTTATTGTAATTACAGGCATCACACAGGTCTGTATGAAACATGGAATGATGCAAATTGATGCTAATAGTGTCTCTGATACACTTAGAAAGTTTAGAAAACCTTTTTACAGGCTTAATTAGGATTAAAATCACTAAATGCTGCTTGCTGGGCTTATTTGTCGCCTTCATATTAAGAGTATAAGCTTATATGATAAATGTGGCTCTCACTAAAACTAAATTTATATATGTTTGAAGCATGCAATCCTGTATATTAAGAGACTAGATACCTTTCTGTTTTAATTCTTGCCTAATTTTTTGCATGATTAATTACAAAGATAAATTGAAAACTTGGCTTCTGTTTCACAATAATACTTTAGGAAAATTCAACTTATTAAAATGTTTAGGACTGAAAATTAAGAATAAATGTGGTCATATTTTTATATAGGCAAAGACAATCTAAAATTATCAGTACTGTTGTGAAGAAGAGTTCCAATTCATAGAATATAATCAATAAAATTCAATTCTGATGACAAAGGCAGTAGTCTCTGTTTAAGCATTCCATGCTGACATTGTATTGCTACGGCTATGGCGCTGCAGATCTTTGGAATTTCCCATTCCAATTTTCAATCAGCTGTCTGTGGTTCTTGCAATTCCACATAAACTAGATACTTTTTGACGTCCCCGGAAATATTTTTGGATGATTCTAGAGAGGGTTGTGTAGATTGGAGCAGCCACTGTCACATAGTCAATATATACTGCTATACAAACATTTATTGGTATATAATTATTCTGCTTTATTTCAGTATGAGATTCTATCTTCAATGTTCAACCAAAGTTGAAAGTGAATGACGTCACCTTTAAAATTTCAACCAATACAAGTTACAGAATAAATTTTTGTGGAAATGCCTGAATTTGAGTTTTAAATGGATCACATATTTGTTGTGAATTATTCCTTATTTCCTTAATTATTTGGTGGTAAACTTAATGTCACAGCTTTAAGCTGGTGCTTTAAATGTTGGACTGACATTTTAATGTACGTTGATACTTTAAAGGGATTATAAAGAAGTTTTCTAAACTTCTTATGTGTATAAGCGACATTGATAGTATGAAGTTGAACTATTCCACTTTTCATTAGAAGTGTGTAGAGGCAATCGAAAATATCAGGTGAAGGTTAAGATGGCCACAGACTCTCATGTATGGTATAGGGGGAAATTTAACCATTTTAACATGCTTTGGAAGTCATTTCCCATACAGAAATCTTTTCATTCCTAAAACTTAATTTTAAAAGGTTTTATTTGAAAATAAAAAAAATACCAACGGCAAGAAAACTAGAGGAACTAGTCTGGGATCCCCGTATTAACATTATGGCTTATTGCTAAAAGACTTTCTATTGCCGGCCTGATTGGCTGTATTTACTGAAGAGTACAACCAACCAAATCGCTGTACTTCCACGATACAAGAAAGGTGGCTATTGCAGTCAAGGTATAAGATGAAGTTCGTAATAGCTGTGAAGACATTGTGAAGATGATGTCTTCCTCTTGGAGAAATATAATTGTTATTGTATCAAGGTTTTTAAATGTTGTTGATTGTATTTTTATAATAAAATCTATTAGAAATTATTTATCTGATGTTTTATATACACCGACATCTCTCAATGTATAACCCAGCCCGGCAAATCGGACCCTACCCGTTCTGGGATGTGATATGGAAGGTCGATACCTAAACTGTCTCACATCCCATATATATATTTAACATTCGAGGAACGGGTAGTGCCAGATTTGTCATGCTAAATGTAAAGGTGTATTGTTGGCACTCATGTCTGTCCGTCCTCCCGTCATATTAGTTATCCATCGTCCATTTTGTTTTGACACCGCTAGAAGCGACACTATCTGTTGAATTTGAGTACTTCCTGATGATTAGAAAAGGAGGTATTGCCCATGTCTTGGAATAGGTGCAGAAATTCATTTTCCATTTCCATTAAAAAACACTGGAACTAATGTTGCAAGTACAAAATGGAGGCTTGTAACTTGAATTAAAGTAAGTTTTTTCTTCACTGCAATCTTGTCAAATCTTTCACTTGACTTGGAATATCAAATTAAATTCTGATTGAGGGATCTGTCAGTTTTAATCCAACATGTACAACCAGCCGCTTGGAGCTGAATTCTCAATTTTAATTCACTCCAATTTAAACCAATTGAGGTTGATAAAACATCTTGACGTGCATTGAAAATCTAACCACTAAATATTTTTTAACTGCATTTTAAAGGGTGATATTGAGTGAAGAAATGTCTTTCTGCAATTTTCAAAATGCCAAGAACGATTTGAAAAGTGAGGTATTAAGAATTCTTTAAAAATAAATGGAAATATTTATATTATAAAATTGGTTAAAATCTAGCTTTCTTAACCGATGAGATTTCTTTATTTCTTAATCTGTTTGTTAGTAAGACACGAAATTTAAATTCTTTTGGAATTCTTTTATGTTAGTCGCATTCTGACCACAGAAAACTGTCATTGTAATAATCAATACATAAAACTGAACATGGGATTATATAGACCGAAACATCTGCCTCTATTCCAGCCTCTTATAGCCGTGAAACAAAATTAAATAACTGGGCGGGGATATCAGCCTAAAACTGGTAATAGTCTATTCTATTCTATTTTATTATTTTTGAATTATACTTTTTTGTTTTAATTATTATAATATTTTTAAATTTTTTTTTGTAGTAATGTCTGCGGGCCAGTCTGGAGGGCGTCGCGGGCCGGATTTGACCCTTGGGCCGCCATTTGAGAAAGCCTGGTTTAACGATTTTGATTCTAACCGATTTTCATTGCTTGATCAGTTAGAGTCTTTTATTGATGATGATTTTAATGATGATTATGCTAATGATTATAATTCCTTTGATTTGAATAATTATTATGATGATTATGAGAATGATTATTTGGTGTATAAAGATTGTAAATATTTAAATGAGGTACATGCAGGTTAGAGAAAGATGAAATTATTTCAGGAAATATTACATAGGGTTAGATAAAGCTAATCAGATACAGATAGGCCTACAGATACAGATTCAGATTCAAATACAGATTCGAAATACAGATTCACATTCAGATTCAGATTAAGGTTCTATTTCATTTTGATAACACTAATTGTAGTCCACAATCGAACTAGGTTGCTTCCCCTGATTGACTTTCTAGTCGAAAGAGATAGACCTGTTTGATTACGTTCGTGCATAGCTATTCATTATTCTATGCGTCGGTATTACGTTTGTGTGAAACCCGGAGAAAGAATTGAACATATTATATACCAGGTATTATCATTTTATTATTTTAGCCCAGGTGATATGACCCAGAATATTTCCTGAATATTGAGGCATTTTTACGCACTTAAATCTGATTCTAATCAGAATGACGTCACAATCGAATCTGATTTATACTGCAGGATAAATGAACATTATACTACTTATAGTTTCCATGATGGCGGCAAGGCAGGAAAAAATTACCCTGCACGTAATGGTTTTGACATGTTGGACGCCATTACTAAAGCGGACGTTAACAGAGCTACGACGCTCCAAAGTTGATTTACTCGATTAACGTATATCGATTTGATTCGCTGCTACAATAAATACGCTGATTGTCATGATCAAATTTGATTTGATATAGGATAAATTGTTTTTAGACCAAATCGAATCAGATTAACCCAGGATAAATTCGACTTTGGTTGTTTTATTATTATATACGTAAAATACATTCACAAACTGAATGAGTAATGACATTATTTCATGTTTGTTGACAAAACTCTTGGCCGGGCAGACATTTTGCCAAATATTCAGGTTATTTGATGAAATATATCGGCAAGCGGTTACGTGATAAGGTGTGAGGACTACTCTTAGTTTCTATATACATGTATAACGCTATCAAGTTTCTTTATAAGTTTGGGCACATAACGTTTCAACACAATATAGCCTACACGACGTGTCGTCATCAGATGTAATGATCCGTGTTTATTGTGTTGAAACGTTATGTGCCTAACCTTATTAAAGAAGTGTGTTATATTCCATAATATTGTCTTGTGTTTTGTTATAGGCCTATTGCCATTTAACATCTAAGCTACTACTATTAGGATATTTACCAAATCGACTCAAAACCTCCCTTAAGAAATTTTAAGGCCGCCATCAAGAACTAATTGAAAAATATATCTGTTTATGCTATCATGGCAGATAAGTTTTGATCAGTTTTAAACTTGTCACAATAGTATGTCGATTAGCCACCAGATAATAATAATTTAAATAATTTTACAAAATACTGGGTTTTGTTTTGCCTCCCTATTTTTTTTGTAGTATTTAGCATCAATGACCAGGTGTGGTTTCAGACAGGGTATGCTTACGATGCTATTTTTTTTATCATAATATAGCAATTATTGTGATCAAATCCCTCTCTTTAAATTCGAGAAATGTGTTTTCATCAGTTACCATGGAAATTCGAGTTAAATTTATTTTCGTCATTTACTTCCCTTGCATTTTTTTACATTCGTCGTCAAGTCACTGTTTCTTCTATTGTCGCGTTCCTATCTGTTTTGTGTAATTTGAGCTGCTATAACGCCAGGCGCCAGGCATGGTAAGCTTACTCTTGACTCTTGATGCCACGTTTCATTATGAAATACTATGGTTGATATACTTCCTCATGTTGAAAGTTCTTTTGCTGCTACCAATTTTCCGTCAAAATGTTGTTTTGGCTTTGGGGTTCTATTTTGCGGTTCGGATTGTTAATATATGTTAAAAAATGTCGAAACTGAGTACTTCGACACTCTCGCTAATCCGACATTTTTTTTGCTGTCCCAGTGTATGTCGGATTCCGGGATTACGCAGAGTATACTGTACTTGGTTTATTCATAGTTCTTTATACATCGAGTTATATACTAAGTTCTATTATAACTCTATGGCTATATATAATATGATAGGATAAATACAATGGTATATTATAGAGTTATATACTAAGTTCTATTATAACTCTATGGCTATATATAATATGATAGGATAAATACAATGGTATATTATAGAGTTATATACTAAGTTCTATTATAACTCTATGGCTATATATAATATGATAGGATAAATACAATGGTATATTATAGAGTTATATACTAAGTTCTATTATAACTCTATGGCTATATATAATATGATAGGATAAATACAATGATATATTATAGAGTTATATACTAAGTTCTATTATAACTCTATGGCTATATATAATATGATAGGATAAATACAATGGTATATTATAGAGTTATATACCAAGTTCTATTATAACTCTATGGCTATATATAATATGATAAGATAAATACAATGGTATATTATAGAGTTATATACTAAGTTCTATTATAACTCTATGGCTATATATAATATGATAGGATACATACAATGGTATATTATAGAGTTATATACTAAGTTCTATTATAACTCTATGGCTATATATGATAGGATAAATACAATGGTATATTATAGAGTTATATACCAAGTTCTATTATAACTCTATGGCTATTTTAATATGATAGGATTAATACAATGGTATATTATAGAGTTATATACTAAGTTCTATTATAACTCTATGGCTATATATAATATGATAGGATAAATACAATGGTATATTATAGAGTTATATACTAAGTTCTATTATAACTCTATGGCTATATATGATAGGATAAATACAATGGTATATTATAGAGTTATATACTAAGTTCTATTATAACTCTATGGCTATATATAATATGATAGGATAAATACAATGGTATATTATAGAGTTATATACTAAGTTCTATTATAACTCTATGGCTATATATGATAGGATAAATACAATGGTATATTATAGAGTTATATACTAAGTTCTATTATAACTCTATGGCTATATATGATATGATAGGATAAATACAATGGTATATTATAGAGTTATATACTAAGTTCTATTATAACTCTATGGCTATATATAATATGATAGGATAAATACAATGATATATTATAGAGTTATATACTAAGTTCTATTATAACTCTATGGCTGTATATAATATGATAGGATAGATACAGTAGTATATTATAGAGTTATATACTAAGTTCTATTATAACTCTTTGGTTATATATAATATGATAGGATAAATACAATGATATATTATAGAGTTATATACTAAGTTCTATTATAACTCTATGGCTATATATGATAGGATAGATACAGTAGTATATTATAGAGTTATATACTAACTTCTATTATAACTCTATGGCTATATATCATAGGATAAATACAATGGTATATTATAGAGTTATATACTAAGTTCTATTATAACTCTATGGCTATATATAATATGATAGGATAAATACAATGATATATTATAGAGTTATATACTAAGTTCTATTATAAGTCTATGGCTATATATGATAGGATAAATACAATGGTATATTATGGAGTTCCATTATTACTACGTATTCAATGCAGTCAATGTAGACCGTTGAATATTGAATTTTTTATAATATCAAATTTGAGTGAAATATCTTTTGTTTGGGCTTGTTGACAAAATTCATGGCCGGGCATATATATTTCAAAATGTTCATCGTTATTTGAGAAGAAAAAGACCATTGAGGAATTGTTCAAAGCAGGCCTATGACCCAAAAATTTTATTTTTTAAACTTGGCCAAAATGAGTTTTTTATTCATCAGTGGACTTGCCTTGTGTCAAACCTAGAAAATCCCTCTATAATCCAAAAATGCATAAACCGAAAGTAATAACCATCAAACTAAGTAATTTTGAAACATGCTTAAAAGCGTATTCCAATAATTACTTAGTTAATAGATATGTCGTCTTATATAGAGATTCTATTCTTTAGTCATGGCACCTGGTAAGTCCAACTGATGAATATATATAGGGCCTACTCTTTTTTACAAATTATATTTCTATTCTCATCGTGTCCAAACCACAATCGCATTTCACCAATCAATTTTGTGTGAATTTAAATATCAACCTAAAAATAATACGGAGGGTGTTTGGGTTGGGATGATGAAAATACCAAATGTGGATCATTTTCACAGGCAAGTGTGGTTCATTCATAATGGAATAATTGATAATTCCAAGATCCACCGTGTACTTGTTTAACCTCTGGGCATTATAGATTGTTGAAACGTTTTGTGCAATAAAATGAATGAGTAGTACATACCATAAAATTGTGTTCCGTTATTTAACTTATAAGGGAACTTGATTCCCTTCTATATCGAAGGGTGTAGAGTCATTGTTAATTCAAGTCATTACAGCTTTACCGTATAACGGTATGGCAAATGATAGTATGGCAAATGAAAGAACGACAAATGACATTAGGACAAATGGGCGTACGACAAATGGCAGTATGACAAATGGCAGTATGACAAATAACAGTATGACAAATGACATTAGGACAAATGGGCTATGGCAAATGGTCTTATGACAAATGGGCGTATGACAAATGACAGTATGACAAATGACTGTATGACAAATGACAGAATGATAAATGACAGTATGACAAATGACAGTTTGACAAATGGCATTATTACAAATGGGCGTATGAAAAATGGGCGTACGACAAATGACAGTATGACAAATAATAGTATGACATTATGACAAATGGGTTATGACCAAAGACAATCACTTCATTTTCTAGTCAATGTTGCTTACAACAGCTATATCTAACTAGCTATATTACAGCTATATCTAACTAGCTATATTGCAGCTATATCTAACTAGCTATATTACAGCTATATCTAACTAGCTACATTGCAGCTATATCTAACAAGCTATATTGCAGCTATATCTAACTAGCTACATTGCAGCTATATCGAACTAGCTATATTGCATCTATATCTAACTAGCTATATTAGAGCTATATCTAACTAGATATATTACAGCTATATCTAACTAGCTATATTACAGCTATATCTAACTAGCTATATTACAGCTATATCTAACTAGCTACATTGCAGCTATATCTAACTGGCTATATTACAGCTATATCTAACAAGCTATATTACAGCTATATCTAACTAGCTATATTGTAGCTATATCTAACTAGCTATATTACAGCTATATCTAACTAGCTATATTGCAGCTATATCTAACTAGCTATATTACAGCTATATCTAACTAGCTATATTACAGCTATATCTAACTAGCTATATTACAGCTATATCTAACTAGCTATATTGCAGCTATATCTAACTAGCTATATTGCAGCTATA